CTCTTCACCCGCCAGGAAGAAGAAGATCGCCGCGTCAAAACCAAGGTCACCCGCAGCCAAAACAGCATCCAAAGCTGCATCTCAATCCGCATCAGGTAGCAGGAACGGTGTTGTGCAGCGTGAGACCACCCCGCCAACCGCACGTCCTGGCGCAGCTCGCACACCCCAGCGGAAGTCTGCACAATCGCCAAAGAAGGCCTCTCGGCCCCCACCGCCCCCCGAGATCAGCTACGAGGACTCGCAGCCCAACTTCTGGCACGACGAATCACCGCAAGCTGACCCGCAACCGTCGCCGCCAGCAAAGCGGAAACGCGGGAGACCACCCAAGAACCAAGCGGCGCAAAGCAATACTCTCGATGATTTGCAGCCTGAAGAGCAAGTACCGCCAGCAAAGAAGAAGAGCGCGGGCCGTGCCGCCGCCAGCGGCGCCAAGTCGAAAAAGGCCGGCGCCGAAAAGGCGAACGTCAAGCAGCGAACGGGTGAAGTGGTGGAGAAGGTGCGAGCGCAACCGCGCGAGGCGACCGTGATCGACGAGAACGGTGTGCGCAGGAGCACGCGGCAGCGTTTCGCGCCACTCGAGTACTGGCGTGGCGAACGTGTGCGCTATGGCCGGCCTAGTCTACCCAACGACGAGCTTCGAGCGTCGCAACGGCCGGGAGAAGACGACTTTGAGGACAGTCTTGCGGCGATGCCGATGCGGAAGCGCGTGCCGGTGCTCGACGTCAAGGAGGTCATTCGCGTGCCCCGAGCGCCGGGTGAGGGCACGTTTGCCGGCACCACACGCGCGCGAGCCACGCGGCGTCGCGCTGCGCCGTCCACTGCGCCGCGCAAGGCCGAGGAGAAGCTGCCAAAGCGAGGCTCTGCACCGCCCGACGGCGACGAGGACGAGTGGCTGCAGCTGGACCCTACCGCCGACACGGTGCATGTCGAGGACGGATGGGACCGCGAAACGCTCGAGACGGGACTGGTGCTCGACGAGGACGGAGAGGAGGTCGAGATGTCGGTGGTGCGTACCAAAGACTCGCTCCATCCCGTAATGGCTGCCGGTCAGCAGTTCGGCTTTGAGAAGATCTTCAATTGCGGCGGACTCATGGCTACGGGCGTGCTGCACTTACCGCCGGGAACGAGGAAGCCCACCAAGCCGAGCAAGGACAACAGCTTTGTATTCTGCGTTCTGCAGGGCGCTCTTCGCGCCACGGTGCACCGGAAGAGCTTCATCGTCGGTCCGCACGGCATCTTCCAGGTGCCGGCGGGAAACACGTATGCGCTCGAAAACATCTGCCAGCGCGACGTGCACCTCTTCTTTGCCCAGTGCAGGAAGACGCGCAAGGCCAACGCGGGTGACTTGACCACCTTCACGCAGGCATCCGATACGAGCTACAGCGTCCAGGGCTGGACCGAGAATCAGCGCGTACTCCAGAGTCCACAGCAGAGCCAGCAGAGCCGGCACCAACCGCCGCCGCTTTCAGACGACGAGGACGACTTTGAAACGAGTCGGCAGCTCAAGAGCAAGAAACGTGTCTTCAGGAAGGTCTAGTCGTCCGTCCAGTTGCAATGTATACCCCACACTAGCACCGCAGAAGAGAGCCGAATGTGTCTCGAAGCAGGCGTCTCATCTGTTGGTCTTGGCTGCGGGCAGGTCGAAGGTGAGTGAGTGTGCTGCTTAGAAGGAGCGGCAAGTGGAGGTGAAGCGTCGAGATTTTTTTTTTGGTGGTGGAATTTTTGAGGGAGCTTGCATTTCCGCCACCATCCTTCTGACCACCAATCACCCGCAACAGCAACGCTAGTACCAACATGGAGGTCGCTTCTACATCCTTATAACGCGAGGTTCATGTCGTTGCGGATGCTGGGTCAGCTTGGCCTGGCGGCGAGGTCGGCCCGGCTGAGTCCGCTTGGCCATCAATCGACTCGGTTGCTCAGCGCTGGACCGGGGCATGGTCCTCGGAAAGGAGACCGGATGGTAGTTGCCATGTCCGGAGGCGTTGATTCGAGCGTCACAGCGCTATTGCTCGCCCAAGCGGATGCTTACGATCTAGAGGCCGTGTTCATGCGCAATTGGAACGAGCTCGACGAGAGCGGACGCATGGAACCCGGGTCGGGCGGCGCATCCGGCTGCACGTGGCAGCGCGACTGGGAAGACGTACAGGCCGTCTGTAGACACCTTGGCAATATCCCCGTCAGGATGGTCGACCTCAGCCGCGAATACTGGACGCAGGTCTTCGAGCCGGCGCTGGACGAGTGGAGGGACGGCACAACGCCCAATCCCGACGTCAGCTGCAACCGCGAAATCAAGTTCGGCGCACTCATGGATCGAATCCTCCCACAACAAGCAAGCATGACCGCGAGCACCCAGTCAGGCGACTCGTCGGCTACAGCGAGGAGCGGGAAGACCTGGCTGGCCACAGGACATTATGCGAGGGTCGGATGGTCGCCCGAGGCAAGGCCGATGTTGATGCGTGCCAAGGACAGGACGAAAGACCAGACCTACTACCTTTCGTCCGTGGCCGAGGCCAAGCTGCAGCATGCGCACTTTCCACTTGCCGGTCTGCCCAAACCGGAGGTGCGCGAGCTTGCAGCCAAGTACGAGCTGCCCACCGCCGCGCGCAAGGAGTCGATGGGCATCTGCTTCATCGGCACGCGCGGATCCGACGGCAAAGCCATCAGCAACACTCTTGGTTTCTCGTCCTTCCTCAATGGCTACATTGCCTCTCCTCCCGGCGATATGGTTGACGAGTCCGGCCGCGTCGTTGGTCAGCATCGCGGATTGCACTCGCTCACCGTGGGACAGAGGGCACGGATCGCAGGAGCAAGCGAGAAGTTCTACGTGGCTCGAAAGGACACCAAGCACAATCGCATCGTCGTCGTCCAGGGCAAGAACCATCCGATGCTCATGTGCACGCGCCTCAGAGCGGCGCATCTAGACTGGATCTGGAACGAGCCTCCATCCGAGCTCCTTCACGGTGCGGAAGGAAGCGTAAGGTTGCTGGCTCAGGTGAGACACAGGCAGGCCGAAACCGAGTGCATCGTGACCAGGGACCAGGATGGGCAGGGAAGCGGATACGTGGTCGAGTTCCCGGAGCCCGTGCTGGCGGTGGCGCCAGGACAGGTGCTTGGGTTGTGGAGGGGTGAATGGTGTCTCGGCAGCGGCGTCATCCAGTCGGTTGATACTTTGCACGACGACGCAGCACCACCGCGCGCAGGGTCACTCTGATTGCACAAAAGTCGATGTGATCATATGTAGATGCCCCTCTTGTTGTAATTGTACTCTTATATGCTCCGTCGATGCTCGTTGGCCGCATGAACGAGGCATGTTGGCGGCTCTGCGGGATTGGTGGATTGAACTCAGATCGGCAGATCGTGACAGCGCCGTCTCTCCCGATCTGCGACTCTGGTCGGGCAAATAGTTTTTCCCGCTCTCCGCCGCTCCACTTTCCGGCACTTCCGAGGCGCTTTCTTTTTCCGCTGTTCTGCCCGGTTCGGCTCAGTCTTCGCACGGACACGACGATCGTCTGTCTACCTTTCCACCACCATCCCCCCCACATACACATCGCAATGTCGACATCAGAGCAGGCATCGACGTCCGACACAGGTACGTCAGAGCGCGTCCTGCGCCTGCACGTGTGGGGCAGCCACGCCACGCTGCCCACGCTCGACCCAACCTCGCTGTACGCCGCTGCGTTGTTGCACGCCACTTTTACACACAACGAGCAGGTGCGCATCCAGCTCGCGAGTGCTTCGACATCGCTCGCGCGTGTGCCACTGCTGCAGGTGCTGGACGAGCACAGCGAGACGGTGCAGCTCATCGACAGCGTCGACGAGATCCGCTCCTTCTGCACCTCGGCTGGGCTCGACGCTGCGGTTGCTGCAGATGCGGAAAAGGCGGCAAAGCAAACGGCGTTGCACGCGCTGCTCGACGATCAGCTGCTTGACCTGACGTTGCACTCGCTCTTCAGTCTTCCGTCCAACTACCGCACCGTCACCACACCTGCCTACTCGGCGGTCGGTGGGGTGCGGCCGTTGACGTCGTCCAACCCGCTCGCGAAACTGGCTGCGCTCCCGGCGGCGTTTCAGCCCTCGATTCCGGCTAGGCTGCGCAACGTCGTCGAGGCGCGACTTACCGCGGCGGGACTGTGGGGCCTCGGCGGCAAGGAGGTAGCAATGCAAAGCTCCGAGTCCGACGACCTTGCCGCGCGCGCGGGCATCGTCCCCACCAAGAAACGAGGCCTCGGTGCGTCGGCCAAGCAGGCTACGCGCGACGAATTCGAGCGATCCAAGCTCATCAACCGTGCCAGGGACGTGCTTGACGTCGTTAGTGCTGCGCTGCCCTCGTCGCCGGCGCTCTGCATGCTCGATGCGCCTGAACCCAGCAGCGTCGACGCGCACGTGCTCGCCTACCTCGCACCGCTCGTCTTCGCCCAGCCCAAGCTGCCTATCGATGCTCTCCCGCGCCTGATCGAATCGAGCTATCCTACCCTTGCCGCATACCTCGCCACCGTGCGCGAAAGGCTCTTTCCCGCTCGAGCCACGTGGGTCTCGCCATCGGATGTCCAGTCCAGCCCACCTGTGCTTGCGGGCACGCAGGCGTCCTCTTCGCTACTCTCGTACTTCTGGCCGTTCGATTCCTCGTCAAAGGCAAGTGACTTTGCTCCCCCACCAACCGGCACCGATACGCGCAGCCACGCACGTCCCACAGCACCCTCGTCGGCCCCGCGCCCGGCCAGACCAAACGGAGCGCCCAGCCAGTCGCCCGAAGACCGCCGTCTGCGCTGGGGCCGCGCACTCTGGATTTGCTCGGCTCTCGTAGGCCTCGTCGGCTACACCTTCGCCAGCGGCATTGTGAGTGTGCAGTTTGTCGACTCTGATTCTCTCGACGACGACGATGACGACTACGACGAGGAGGAGGAGGAGGGCGAGGACGACGAGGATGAAGACGATGAGGGAGACGACGACGGGGGCTGGCAGGTGCAGGGCGAAGATGACGAGGACGACGAGCTGGACGAGCTGGATCTGGAGGGAGACGACGATGATGACGACGAGTATTAAACGCATTCTCTGCTGTACACTACTGTGGCTGTGCGTGGCAACGCAGCTTTATTTTTCCGCTCGTCGTGGCTCCGTCGTGGTCGTCTCTTGGTCTGTCCGATTTCGCGGCGAGAAAGTGTGTTTTGCTGACATCTGCCCATCCCCGTTTGCTTGTGTAGCCTTCTCAGGACTTTGCGAGGTACGATGCGACGACGAGCTGCGGCGGCGCCACGTCCGCCCTGGCATCGGGCGTGGGCGAGCAGATGTGCGCAAGGCGACGTCACGTGGTTACGGGCACATTCAACTCGCCCGACCTGTTTGTGCTCGAGTACGACACGCTTGCGCAGACGCTCTCGATCCTGCACCAGATCCGCGCCGAGGGTCCGCACCAGTACCTCGCGTACGGCGAGTCTTCGTCCGGTGGCACGGTGTATGCGACCACCTGGGGGTCTCCCTCGACGCTGTCTGCGTGGCACGTCACCGACGACTATGGATTGAGCTTTGGTAATCATGTCCCCATCACGGCGACGGGGAGCTATGTGCATGTACAGCCTCCGCCGTACGCGAGTCTGACATCGCCATCGTTCGGGTCGACGCCCGGACTCGCGCGCTGGCTCGGCTCGGCAGGTGGTCCCACGGGCGAACTGCACAGACTCGACCCCGAAACGGGTCGGATTGGCGACAAGGTGCACGAGCTCGTCTTCCTCCCCGGCGGTGCAGCAGACCTGGAGAAGGCAGACAAGAGCAGGAAGGCGTTGCGCTACGGTGCGCACTCGTTCGACTGCTCGAGCACGGCTGCGGATCAGGTGGCGTTTGTGGCTGATCTGGGCGCCAACGCTGTACAGGCCTACAGCTTCCCGGATCTCGAGCATCTGTATACGGTACCGAGTGCGGAAGACGGCGATGGACCACGTCATTCCATCCCGCACCCGCATCTTCCTCTGCTGTTCACAGTGACGGAGCATACGAACTTTGTCGATGTCTACCGGTTGCCCAGTGCGCGGGGGCAACAGCCCGTGCACATTGCACGTGCCGACATGCTGACGCCATCCCAGGCGGCGCATCGACACGACTTCCGCGGTGACACGCTGCGGTTCAGCTCGGATCTGCGCTTCCTGTTCGCCACCACGCGCGGCATGACTCCCGCCACCAAGGGCCTGCTCGTAGCCTACCGCCTCGATGTCTCCGATCTGGACGTGAAGCTCACACTCGTGCAGCGGTTCGAGACGCGCACGAGCGGAGGCAAGGCCAACGCGATCGAGCTCGCCCCCACCCCAACCGAGCACGACCTGCTCATCCTCACCGACGACGAACTCGGCTTCATGGACATCCTCACCTTCGACCCGACCTCGGCCACCTTTGACGTCAAAGCCACCGCTCAACTCCCGCCCCTCGATGATGGCAAGCCCCAGGGCGCAAGTCATGCAATCTGGCTTCCCTAACCCACACACACACACACCTGCTCGAGACTTGCGATGAAGAAGAAATTTGTCATTCGAGAGACCCCAATGGAATAATGCAACCAGTACAAAAGGTAGAGTGCGAAGAAGATGCGTGTATATATGATCCCCGTGACGTCATGACCGATATCCAAAACAAGAGAGCGAGAACCAAAGCAGAAGAGAGAGAGAGAGAGCGAGAGAGAGAGAATCCAAGACGAGGAGGGCAAGGCTAGATGGAGAGGGGGGAAGTTCTTCGTGAGGGTTTGTGGTTGGGTGGGGGAGATTCGAGGTCTGGTGACGAAACCGCTGTCTCTGGGGGGCTAAGGAGCTCGCGCATGTCGAGCAGGCTTGGACTGGTGGTTTCAGTCGAGCTGTGACTGTCCGTGTGATGCCGCAACAAGCCGTGTCCCCTCGCGTCAGCCTGCTGTACTTGCAGCAACGATGCATCGACCTTTGCGAGCTTGACGTGGGTGTCGTCTTGCTGGGTGTTGTCGGCAAGCAGGATCTGGGCGCGTGCCCAGTCGCTCGTGCGAGCCTGGCTGGTTCGAGGCGCGCGTTCCTTCTCGGTGCGGGTGGCGGGAGCGTCCGGTGCAGAATAGACGGGTGCGATGCGGAACGTGCGCTGCTCCGCACCGTATGCTGCGGGATCGAATCGCTCCGTCTGCGAAACGGGCGCTGGAGGCGTAGTGCTACCGGCAACGGTTGTGTGAACGTTGGCGGCCTGCGCCTGCTCGCTCGAGCGTGCGAGCTGCTGCATGGTCTTCTCGAGCAGGCTCGGGCGCGACTGTACATTGGGCTGGATGCGTAGCCTACGCACGCGCCGTGTGCCTTCGCCCTCACATGCGCCGTTGAGCTGCCCACCTGCACGTAGCTCTACCTCGTGCACTTTCCCCAGAGCCGGCGTGAACGTCGACTGCGCTTCGTCCACCGTGGAGAGCGCGCGCGGAGACGTGTAGCGCGTGTCGACGACACTGTGTGCGGATGCTTCGGGTGTGCATGCGGGTGTTGCGGCAGGACTCGACACGGCGGGTAGCGGATGTGCCTCTTCCGACTCAGTCTCGCTGCTCGAGGCGTCGACAAAGCAGAATGTGCGCTGGTCGCCTTCCTTGGGCACCAGCGATGGCTTCCTTCTATGCCCCTTGACTCCCGTGCTCGCGTACGAATGTCCAGATCCCGATTCTCCCGAAGCTGACTTCTCCAGCTGCATCGCCTGAGCTGCCGGCGGCAGTGTCGACTCGGTCGCCGCTCTCGTCAGCCTCTGCCTTACAGGCCCAGTCCCCGCCGAAAACGACTGACTCTTGCCCACGCCTACCTCCGATCCTGTCTTGGTTGGTGTAGCCACCTCAGCCGCTTGAGCTGGACTCGTCACATCCGCCGATGCACTCTGCCGTGACGAGCCTCTCGACAGCGCATGATGTTCGACGGCATGCGCAAACGACTGCTGGAACGGCATGTTCCACACAACACTCCCCGCGGACTCCATCGGCGACATGCTCGCCTCGCTCATGCCGGCTGTCATGCCAAAGTAGCCCGTGGATCCTGTCTCGCTCGGTGCTCGGCGACTGCCGGACCTGCGCGGCTTTGCGCCAAAGTTGGTGACGAAGCTGACGCGCGGCGAGGTGGGTGCGCCCTCGGAGGCGACACGCGTGCGTGTGAGCTGGTCGAGATGCAGGAGAATATCGGTATGAGCGCTTCCGCTCCGACTGCTCCCGGAGCTGGGTTCGGACACTGAGCTCTCACTGCCGTGCTCGAGGCTGCTGGGATCGCAGCCGGCTAGTGGTGCAGCGCCGAGCGAGAGGAACTCGTCCAGCACCGCTGCCGAGTTCTGCTCGTCTAGTGTAGGCACTGAGGCTCTTCGACCAGAGATCGTGTCGGCGGGACATACAGTGCTGCCGTTTGATGAAGCGGCATGGCGTGCTGGTGCGGTGGGTGCGGTGCGCTTGATGGGCTGCCGGACGAGAAGCTCGCCGATGTGGTTGCCCAGGAAGTCGTTGCCAACCACCTTGGTCGCCGTATGCGTGCGCATGATGCGTCGACCCACTGGGCAGAGGCCGCCCTAGATGTTTGAAGCGCGACACAATCAGCTACGCTGCGCACATGGAGGTCGGCGAATTGACGACGAAGGCCAAGACGAAGCGAGACAGATGTCGAGAGGATGTGGAGTGTCGGACTGTACGTTCAGCGATCGAGCTGGGAGGTCAGCGGTGTTACGGGATCGGAAAGCCGCCTGAAAGAAGGCGAAACGTCTGCGGTCGGATGAGACGGTCGAATGTGCGTGCGCTGCTGCTGGTTTGGCCTGCGACTGTCGAAGCCAAGTGGTGAGTGCGGACGATAGAGCCACGTTTGTAGTGATGGTATAGATGCTGGGTGCGTAGAGGTGATGAACAAGATGGACGTAGTCAATAGGTGGAGTTGGAGATGGAGACGTAGATGGAGACGCCAAGAGGCCAAGCTGCCGGATGCCAAGGGAGGAGGGGGAGGGATTTGGGCGAGGCAGTGGAGGCAGACTGGAATTGGTGCCGGACTGAGCCATCCAGCCCTACCTTTTCCGAGCGCCTTTCTTGTGCGGCTACTTTTTTGGTTGTCTCATGCCATTCCGCCTTGCAGGCTTCTACGACTCAACGGTTTGTGGGCCTGGCAACTGCAATGCGGCTGCAAGGACCACGGGGGGATGCTTCAAGTTCTTCATTCTGGCTTTTGCACAACGTCCCACGACCCGCGTCGGCCGCCTTGGCGACTTTGTGCACCCCGGCATCGGAGCCCGGCCTTTGGCGTAGCCACTTTTTTCTGCTGCCTTGCTGCCCCTCTCTGATTAATCGGCAACAAATAAAAAATACAAAATGTGGGTTTCAGCCGGGTGGATGAATACGGCTGGGTTTGCTCGTCGAGATCGGCGCCGCAGTGTGTAGCAACCAGCGAGCGTGGGATGCGCTAGCCAAGCTCGCTTCCACAGCACAGAGCATGACCGAAGCCTGGGGGTTTGGTCGCACCGAGCTGGAGCGCGCGCACCCGCCGGCGTCTGCATGCCGCTACGACGATCGCATCTTCGCTCCCTCTGCACATGGTCATCCCGCAACCTCCTGAATCAAGGCTCGTAAGCCAAGGGGATACAGAACGCGTGGTCCCGCTCTTTTCCAGCCACTGCCGTAAGGTTGACCGCAGCCGAGGCCGTGTGGATTGGACGACGCATTAGCGTAAGGGCCAACAGGCGCGCCAACTCCGAGCGGTAGAGGCAGGGGTTGACCGCGCGTGAGGCGCTCTGCTGACACTTGGCCGGCTTGTCTGGTCGCTTGCCGAAGCCGGACAGTCAAGTGACTTTTGGGTGGTGCATGACGGAATCGGCTGCGCTCACGCTGCGACGAAGCGGAGGGGCTCTCTTTAGCGCGTACCACAAAAGTCAGCATTGCGGGTCTTCAGGGTCTGTGCTTGTGCGCGCCATTGTGATGGACTGGTACGCAGCTGTGTTTCAGCATGGCCGTTTCGGCCAGGACCACTTGGGATGACCGACGACACAGGGTGCCGACCAGCTGGCTTTCCGGTGGAAGGAGCAGACTGGTGGATGGCCAACGCGAGCATCGCTGCACCTTCCGATGAGCGCGGAAATTCGACGTGCGCATCGAGGTTGGCAGCTGTCAAGTTGCGGAGCTCCTTTTGGCCGCAGCTAGGCACCGTCCCGTAGCCGATCCCGAGAAAATCGAGAAAGTCGAGATTGGATGTGGAGGCTGAGCGGCCATTTTGATTCCCATGACAAGCGAGCCAAAGCGCTGAGTCCGGAATTTGGACTCCAACACTCAGCGACCGCCAGCTGCACTGCTGCTCCAACTCAGACCAAAGTGAGACCGTTGCGTCCAGAACGCGCCCGGCCGCCGTGTGAATCCGAACACCCCCCAGCTGCGGGTACTTTCGTCTATCGGGTGCCAACATCGGGAATCACACAGCCGTTCCAATTGCATACTTTTCCGCCGTTTTGTTTTCCAGCGTGCACGAGCGAGTGCGGATTTGACCTCGAAGTGTGAAGTGTGTCGTTGCGCCGTTGACTCGTTGCGCAGAATCTTTGGTGCTGTGACTGAAGGATCTGCTGTGCTGGATCCGAGCGCGTTCGGGATTCGGTTCGTCCATCCCACGCCCGACCAGCGCAGCCGGATCGTTTTCGATCCCGGTTCCCCTTGATCGCGAACGGTCGGCATCGAGGCTCGCATCGTCGAGCTCCGCATCCTCGGTCGTTCTTTTTGCTCCGCACCGACGGTGTAGTTTGACTTGACTCGAATCATGCACTTAAGCTTTAGAGCTTTGGTCGCTCCTTCCTGCTGTTGTTTCAGCGGGCATGTGCACATCGGAGCTGTGGCTGAGTTCGCTTGTTCGTCCCACCGTGCTGACTCGTCCGTGCATGGGATCCTGCCTCGGAAGGGCTTTGCCGAGCACGCCGAGCCTGCGCTTCTGCTTGCGGTACGCCGATACGGTGGTACAGCCGAAGCTCGCGTTGAAGGCTCACTTTCGACGCCCGACCTCGGCTTCGGCATTTGCGGCATCAGAGCGTAATGCGCAAAGCCACCCTGCTCAGGAGGTGCAGTGGTTGCCTCCGATCAACATCCCGACTCCGTCAAGACTTTCCCCCATGCGGACACAGCCCACACCAAAACAAGACTCGGCTTGCCAGGAAGAAGGGATTTGAAATTCGTTGATACGACGTGTGCCTTGCTAACGGCGGAGTGAGAGCGGAGATTCGTCATACCGGTATTTATGTGCCTAGCTTAGTTGGGATGGCGGACTCAGAGTCGACCGGTCGCTCGGGCAAGGTTACGTCTAGACCGCTGCATGTACCGTGGATCCCGCATTGCAGCTACCCGCAGAGACGCGACACCCGCGGAATTCATCCTTCGTCAGTACTGGAAGGACATTTGAAAGACTTTATGTCTTGCTGGATGGGAGCTGTTAACATCTGCGGCCATAGAACCTTGAAAG